ATACATGTATACATGCAGACAATGTCTCACACACACACTTATGTATGTATTTTTATATAAAAATATATATTTATATGTACATACCTCATCTAATGGTGTTCAATCTGTTCCAGGGATGCATACATTCATATGTTTATTCTGCTGATATTGAAGAAGACTGGCTTTCTTAACAACAAAACTATTGTAAATGTCTTAAAATTAAACAAGCTTCAGGCAAAAAGATGTATGCACAGCAAAAAGCTATTACTTACAAGACCATATGTGCCAGAAGGCAAATACTCCCATGTTCAAAGACAGAATGGAGAAGACAACATATTCCAGCTCTGAGTCCTTTTGATGCATCTCCCTTACACACACAATAAAGATTTTTGGATCAAGCTGACTGCTTTCTTTCTACTAGAGTAATCAAGCTCTACATCATTAACCTTTCTGTTTCCTGGCAGATAGTCTGGGAGAGTAGCAAGTGACTACTCCTCCAGGCTTTGGAGTCAAGCCAACACAATTACTCTCACCCTGTTCTTTGAGGTGACAGCTGCAGAGGGATCAGGATGTGGAAAACAACCATGAAATCAAAGGGTTACAGACTTTGGAGCCAACTCTTCATTCATCTGCTGATCAGCCAGAGCTCCTAACTTGGACAACAAAACCTCACAGCTCACTGTCCATGATGAGAAGTTACAAACCATCAGTCAAGCAAAGAATGCCTTCACAAAAGTCTAATGTTAGTCCTACTGTCCTTCCACCTGTCTTTATTTTCTGGTGCTGGTGGTTGTGGCAGTAGCATGAATATGTGTCAGAGCCAAAAGTATGCTGTCTTGAAGATTCTGTTCTCCTAATATGTCTATTTGGATAGTGTTATTGTATAAAGTCTACTGACATTCTGCCAAGTGCCAGCTTAGATTTTTGGAAATGGTTTGCACTCAGAAATGTTCATACGCAGACTAAAAGTGCTTCCCCCCCAGAATGCTCTCACTATTATGTAGTGAAAATGGCAGCTCTTTTGTTTAGTGATGAACATAGTTAAGGAGAAGGTGATCACCTGTGAAAGACAGGTAGCAAAAGGAGGTGACATCTGAGTCATTGTCCAAGATCTGCAGCTTCATAGGACATGAATAATTTCATTATATGGAGGCTGTGATATCTTCAAAGGAGTTGCTGAAGCATTCAGTAGGAGATAGAATAAATAAATTTATAAAGGGAAAGAGGAATACAGAAAGGTGAAGTAATTTATCCAAGTCATGCTAATCATGTTGGGCAGAGAAAAGATCCTAGACTCTACATCCTCAGCCTGTATCCCAGTTGCTAAGCAACTGTCCTGAATGTGAGGGTGCCCAAAGCACAGTATATTAGATGCTGTAACATTGGCACTCTGACACCTCATGCTTTCATTCACGCTGTATCTGAGGTCTAATAAAGAAAAAGAAATGGGCCTCCTTGTCTGTCTGTGGCTTCAGCTCTCCTGCATTTAGTCTCTTAAATTAAGGCCCCAAATTAGAGGGCCAGCTGAGCTGCAAGTTTCCTTACCAGCAGATGTAAAACATCATCACTCCAGTGGGTGAGTCGTGCCACCTCAGCTCTGAAGGATTGCAAGCAGGTCTCTGTCTCATGTGTCTCACATGCCTTAAGGAGGGTAAGAGGGGTGATTAGGGTGATTAGGCTGCTAGCTCAAGATGTGTCAGCCATAGGCATAATATCACATGAGATCTATCTTTGCTTTTCTGGCTTAAAATTCTGTTGAAATGCATATTTCATCACAGTAAAAAGAAAAAAAATGGCTGAAATGCTTAATATCTAGGAAAAAATAACTGGAAATGTTCTGATGGACAGAAATGGATTCTTAAAATTACCAGGCCAATGTCTGGAATTCTTCCTTGACAGTGTAATTACATGGCACATCTGCTATAGCTGACTTCTGGATGATTTTCAGTTGGCAATGTGCAGGCATCCATTAACCAGCAAATATAGCTCATAGGCCTAAAATGACAGCCCTGCCTTGCCTAAAAGGCATCAAGACTAGGCAGATGATCTCCAACAATGAATTCCACATGAATTTGCAAGGGAGCCAAAGAACTGACGGTGAAAGTGCTGAAGGGCAGATTGAAGTGCCACAGGCTTCCCTGCTCACAGCAAGGATTTGTCAAATGGCCTTTGTTTGCACAGTTCCCATGCGCTGGACTCCAAGAATCACAGAGCTTTCCAGGGCACCATGGCTGCACAAATGGAGAAAAGCTAGAGAATGGTGTTGGAAGTCACCAGAAAATAACATGAACTGGAGAACTGAAGCTGAAAAGTCAAGATTTCTAAAAAGATCCCTCAAAGTTTAGATGAAATCTGATCTGCATAAATCTAAATTGTTTCATATGGATTTTTTTTCACAACTACCAGAACTCATGGGCATATAAACTTATAAGGCATTTTTCTTCTCAGTCTAAAGACACATTTGTATGTGAACATCTCAATTAATGGTCCCAAGGACATAATGATAGAACAGGGGGCAATGGCTTCAGAATGTGAGTAGGTTTAGATTAGATGTTAAGAAGAAATTTGTGACTGTGAGGTGGTGAGGCCCTGGCCAGGTTGCCCAGAGAAACTGCAGATTCCACATTCCTGGAAGTGTCCAAGGCCAGGTTGGGTGTGACTCTGAGCAACCTGGGATAGTGGAAGTTGTCCCTGCCCTGGCAAGAGGTGTAATGAGACGAGACTTAAGGTCCCTTCCAACCCAAACCATTCTATGGTTCTATGAAATCAATATCTGCCTTCCACCAGCAGTTCTCTGGAGGGGGTTTGGGAATGTTGCCATTCATGTTGGACTTGATCTGGGACTAAGCTGGTTAGACTTAAAGATCTTGGAGTTCTTTTCCAGCCCTGATGATTCTATGATTATAATTCTGAGTGTTATTTCTTGCTCCGGAGTTAGGATTATACATGTGCATAGACCTATACCATATCAAGACAAAAAATACATATGTATGTGTGTATATATATATATATATATATATATGTATTTTTTTTCTCCAGCGTTGTCTGTGTGTATATATGTCTGTGTATATATATATATATATATATACATACATACTAATAATATATATGCACATATATATTATTAAATGAGGGTGGAAAAGCAAATGCAGATCCATGCATTTGAAACTAAATTAGGCTGCCCTCCTGAGGGTCTCTGTATTGCTGCAGTTCTGGATACACAGTACCTCAGTTTCAACACAGAGGACAGAGATTGTCAATATCTTTGTCAAGAAACCTTTGAGTCAGTCCAGATTCAGCAGAGCCTAGTAGTTTCCCTGGCTTCTTGATGATGACATGCTTGGTTTTGATGTATTTCATGGAATGAGGAGAAAGAGAAATTTGAATTTTGCTTACCATAAGAGGTGTCAGTGTGTGTGTGTGTACTGGCTGCATATGGGAGCCCTGTGAGGTAGATAAAGCCTAGGATCACAGCTATACAGGACCAGGAAGAGCAAAGGACATTTTAACTAAGGGGTGCTTTTTTGCATTCAGTGACATAGATTTCCACTTTGTGTTCTCTAAAAAGTCTTCTCTGTTTACCATAAGAGTTTTGTTTTGTTTTTTTTTAATATATTATTAGTTGAGGACAACTAAACATTGGAATAACTTACTTAGATTCTCCATCTACTCAAGAATCTAAGTATAAATTCCATATCTTTGTCAGATATGAGGTCATGAAGACATTATTGGTTTTACACATGATTCACTCTTTGTCTTGGAAAAAGCTCACCAGACACTGAGAAATTCCATTTACTTTCAATCTCCTTACTTACTTGACCTTCATTATGAAAGAGGTAATTGTCAGCTTCAGTGAAGCTACAGCACTTCCATCAAGTGAGAAATGCATCCGTGCGCTATATATATTTTACAGAACAAAATAAATATCATCAGACAGAGTTAGAAAACATCTAAATACAGAACGCTAAAATTCAGAATTTAAAATTTCATTTTGTAAAACTAAATCAATAACTGAACAATTATCAATAAGTTTTGCTATCATTGAAATTTTAAATAGTGCTAATTTTTTTTTTGTTTTAATTATTTGGATTTGTTTTAAAAGACTTGTCTTCTCTGCTGTTTGTTGTTTTCTACTGTCTGCTATTTCCATCATGATGCAGCAACAACATAACAATGTTGGCTGAAAGCCAGCTTGGGAATAGACTGAGCCTTCAACGGATTTTTGATGCATGAATATTTTGAGGGGGCATTTAAATGATGTTTGTGCTTCTCACAGTGTGAAAAAAACAACACTGCCAGGTTTCTTTGATCTATGGGAAACAGGCTATCATAATACAGAAATAGTTAGCTGCAATAAGTACATTCAGGTAGCTTCTTTCTACTTAACAGTGCATCATTTGCTTCTACGCTCACAAAGAAGGTTTTCATTCAGCTGGGGCAAAGTGCACACAGTTATTGATGGTTCAAGTATTTACTCTTTAAAATGACAGTTCTGAAAACATATTTCTCTCACTACACAGAGAGTGGGAGGGCAGTGGAAAGGAGGAGATAATTGAGGGAGCTGGAAGTGAAATGATGTTCATGTCTGTCAGATGCCATTTCCATTTTAATGACTGCAAAGAGGAGTGTCGGAGAGCTGCCAGACAGCAGAGGTTTGGGTCACCACTCACAGTGTCAGATGTTGGGCTACTCCAGGCTGGCATTCATGACTGAAGGGAAGAATGTGCCTCTTTTGCCCCTTCCCTAAGATGGACTGATACTTCTTCAGGTTTCCAATGTTTCACAACCTAAGGATTCAGTGAGGTGCGAACCTTGTTGTGTTTGACAGCCTACAAACACAAGGCCATTCATCACAACTTCAGTGGGCAACCTGCAGTCTGAAAGATAAATATTGATGATTTGATGAAGCAAGCAGCCCAGGAGAGGGGGAGGACAAGTAATAACAAGTACCAGTGTAGGCAGCCTGGCTCTGTGCATAGTTTAGAGCAAGGCACTGGTTGCACTATCAGGACTGATCCTGAATCCCTGCAGCCCAGTCTCTCACCTCCATGATTTGTGAGGACCGTGTCTAAAAGAATCTGGGAGAGTAAATGTGGGCCATCACTCAGTTCCTTAGTGTCCCTCCTAAATGGTCATGCTGGTGCCAAGGAACTTTTCCTGGCTGAATGCCTGGAAACAAATATTTGGTGCAAAGCCGAAGTAACATTCTGTGTGCAGAGCATGAAGACTG